CCTCACGGAGGCATTAGGCTGAATCCCTCCTGGGCTGGGGAGGACAGAGGAGGACAGGATGCTAAATGCACAGGAGTTCTGAAGTTGAGGATCATTCTTTCTATTGTGATGCCTTTAAAAGCTTTGGAGGAGGGTCTGCAGAGGCTGATGAATCACAACCCAGCATAAGGTGGCCTGGCTCCCAGCACCGTGGAGACCCCTGTGGGTGCCTTATCTGGAGACCAGAAGTGTCAGATCTAATCCCAGTGAGGCTGAGAAAGTCCACACCTGGGCAGGGCCACACCTCACCTTCTTGGCCAAGGGCCAAGGGGCAGCCCTGCCTAGGAGGACCCCCAGTTCCCGTGCTCCAGCCCCTCCCACACTCAGTTCCCAGTTCCAATACAAGGTTTCCTCATGACAGCCCAGATCAGCCACAGTCAACCTGCTCACCTTCATATAAAGGACATAGCACATCTGTAAACACCACTTGTGTTTCCACAAACCAAGTAAGCCATCGTTAATTCAGAACAGAGTAAAAAAAAAGCCAGGGTTTAAATAAAAGTCTCCTGAAATTGGGGCAACTACAAAATGAGGTCAAGTTCCTGTCCTGGGTGTGCAGATTGTTCGTCCACTATCGGGAGGTGGACAGGTCGATAGAGTCTGGAAAGGAAAACAGGTGCCTTCCAGAGCCCACCAGCAGGGGTCGCTGTGCGCCCACAGATCCCGGAACCGCAGCGCAGAGGACAAACATCCTCTCTCTGCAGTCTTTCCTGTTCCTCTAACTGCAGAGTCCGCAAGTACAGACAGGACATCGGGGGGCCCACATGTCTTTGACCTTGAATGACACAGTAACCGCGGGGCAGCCGCCCCAGGCAAGAGGGACTCGAAAACCATAGCTGGAAATGAGGTTCAGAATCCAAGGGATTCAACATTAAACGCATCTCAATGCTGTCCCCACGCTCAGCAAGATTTTCTGTTTGGTGTCAGATGTATAGCATTTGCGGTGTCTCCTGACCACAACATCAGAGCCAGATGGACACACACAGAACCTGTGGCAGGGAGACTGGCCAGTGGAGGCCCCACACACCCAGGAAGGACGAACACCCACACGCCACGCAAGACACAGACAGCCTGCTCCCCCACGGATCCTTACCCCAGTTCTCCCTTGAGCACACACACGTGTGTGTGTCCCTCACGCTGACATCCCTGAGCAGACACACGTGTGTACCTGAGTTCCAGCCACGTCCCTGGAGGACAGGGACCCTGCTTGTCACGAAGCTCAGAACATCTTAGCAGAACCCGACACGCACTCTGATTGTCTCCCTTCTGCCTTGGGAAATATTTGTCCCCAGATCATCATAAAAGAAATAAAGGAAGAGTACCGAACATAATTTACAGACAGAGAAACCCAGGAACCCAAGGAAACGTTTACTTCTCTTTCAGGGGCTGGTTGACTTTACCCGAAGCTGAGTTCCATCATGAGCTAGAACAACACATACATGTACATCCGTGTACAAACACAGACACACACAACACCATGAGGCCGCTCACACGTTTGTCATTCAGAGTCACGACCACTTTGTTACTGTCCAAATAGTTAAGAAGTCAGCTGCACGCTCTAACATTCTCTGGATATCACAGTCAAACCAGCGACATTCCGTGACTGCATGTCTTTCAACAGAGGTAATCCCGCCCCCGCCCACACCAGGGTAATGGACCAAACTGAAGTCGGAAAAGACGCCATTGGTCTCAGGAGCTGGTTCTCCGCCTTGGCTGAGCTGTGGCTTCTTCTGGAGCTGGAATCACTCCATTTCCTTAGCTCAGTATCTGTACTGCTGCTCCCATACCTGAGGACCTACCTGCGCACAAATCTTCCTGCAAAGTACACAAACCTGAGATGCACTCCCAAACTTCATGCATCTACTTTATTCCCCAAGTTGGCAAGGCAAGAATATGCCTTTCATTGAAAAGCCTGGGTCTGGGAGAAACCCCACTGGCAAACGAAGCTGTGGGGAAGGGCTGGCCCCGCACGAGGTCACAGAGTTGTCTACAAGTCTTCTCCATCAGCTTCTTCAGAAAACAGAGCAAAGGAGAGCCTGCCTGCTAAGCCACCCCAGGTCCTGCCTAATAAAACTTCATGATGAGTAAGGAACCAGGTGATGTGGGCCTCCCCACAGATCACAGGTAAGGTGAGGCACTCCTGCCAGTGGGACTCAGCCACAGGGCGGGCATTGTTAGAGCCCCACTTCCTCCAGGAGAACCGAGGTTCTCTGGGGAGTCGGGGCCAGGGAGCCTGGACACTGCCCTCTGACCATCCTCCCTCCCCTCGCTTCTCTGCCCCACAGCAGGCTGAGCCTGTCCCCACCTTGTCCTTTGTCGGGAGGCACTCCTGTGCCCCCAGCTGCTCCCTGGCTGGGCTGCGGGTCAGTAACATCTCAGGACAAGTGTCCTTCCTCACTGTTCCTGGCCACCTGAGCCGTCAGCCCAGGACTGGTTTCTCGCAGAACAAGACCCAGGTTGGGAATGTGCTGCCCCAGTGACACATGTAAACCAGGGGTCCATGCCTCCATGCAGGGCTCTGTGCTGGGCAGTGACTGCCCCAGTGACACACGGAAGCCAGGGGTCCTTGCCCCCACGCAGGGCTCTGTCCTGGGCAGTGACTGGGCCAGTTTCTGGCCCGCAGGAGAGGAACTGCCACAGGTCTGAACAGAATCCCTTCAGTGGGTCCTCTTGCAGGGGGGGAGGTGTCCCAATGGTCTCCTCTATCTGCCATCCTCACCAGCCCCAAGGTGTCTCAGCGGGGCGCCTGTGCCCTGACTCACCTGGGGCTGGCCCTTCCATCAGCAGAGCGGACCTCACACGGGCCTGGCAGACCTGTGCGAGAACACGCCTCAGACAGGCTCCTGACACCCTCGCCGCCTGGAAGGCGCGGGAACACGTCCGACTCTGCCCGATGTCCACGTGATGAGGCATCTGTAACCCAGATTCAAGGGTTATCCCTTGAGGAGTGAAATACTGTTCAACTCTTAAGAGCGGATTGTTCACATACACACTTAAGCAGGTCACCCTGTGCTGTAATTACCGACCAACAAACACACACCAGAATGCCTGCAGCCCCCTCACTGTGCTGAGCAGATTCTGGGTGGAGCTGAAGGAGGAAGTCAGCGCATTGGCATCTGGGTTTTCTCAAGGGGGTCGCGTCCCTGACAAAGTGCCTCCTGCAGGAAACGGGCTGGGAGGGGCAAGGAGGGCTCCTGTCCCAATAAACCGGCCAGTCTGAAATGAAAGTGCTAGTCGCTCAGTCGAGTCCAACTCTTTGAAACCCACCCGTGGATTGTAGCCTGCCGGGCTCCTCTGTGCATGGAATTCTCCAGGCAAGAATACTGGAGTGGGTAGCCACTCCCTCATGAAACAAGTTCAGAAAGTTGCTCTGGGTTATCCTGCAGTTCATGGTTTGTGGAGGACTCTGATGCATATTCCTACTTTCCTGGCACCCAGGAAAACTGCTTCTTTCAACATAAAGGTTCATCTAAATTCCTTTCTCTGGTGCTTGAACCAGTGACTCTTGGAAGGAAGGTACAGGGATCCTCCACAATAGCCCAGGCAGCCGGGGCCCCGCCCTCCCTGCCGCCTCACCGCAAGATTAAGAAGTTATGTGCCAGACATGCGCCTTCCTCTTGCAAGTCTTGACTTCAACTGTTATTTTTCCACTTTTTTTTTTTTTTCTTTTCTCCCAGCACCTGTTCGAATCAAGGGTAGGGTGATCTGACTGCAAATTTCTTCTTTCCTTAATCTTTAAGCAAGAGGTGGAAAGGATGAGAGATGCTTGAAAACATGGCTGAAATGTCATTTTTACAACGAGCCACTCTAGTGTATTTTTAGACTCAATATCGTACACAAAATCAAGGTGTTTTTGCTAGTTACCCAGGTAGTTTAGAAACTTAACCAAGCGCTACAGAGGCACCCTTTCCTTTTTTTTTTTTTTTTTATACCCTTTCCTTTAAAACGCCACACAGGAGAGTAGCAGAGAGATGATGCGGTGACTTTATACTGAAAAACCAGCACCACATAAAGCAAATAAATGTTTGAAACTATTGTCCCTAACGGCCCATTCACGCTTTTTTCCATTAAAAAAAAAAAAAAAAAACACCTAGTGATGCATGAAAAGATAGAAGCGCTTCTCAGGGGCCTCTGGGAGAGCCCGTTCCAGATTCCCATGGCAGGGATCTTAGTTTATCCTTCCCTCTCATCCTGGGGGGGCCCGCTTCTCCCTGGAAGTGGGTCCTTCGGGGGACACAAAGCGCTTCTTTCAAGCCCGGACGTTAACAAGTGACACGACCGCTTTATTTCCCGAGGAAGCGCCCCCACTCCCCCACCCCCAGCCGCCGGGACACGAAGCGCATCCCCAGCGCGCGAAGCGGGCGGGTCTCGGCCGGGGCTGCCCCCTTGCAGGCCCGCGGCTCACTCACTGGGGCTTTGTCTTCGCCGCTACCTTCCTTTTTCAAAAGCCAGGAGTGAATTGCTCCGTTCCTGTGCGCGCCAAACCTCTCCAAAGCCGCGAGGCTCCAGGAGCCCAGAGCCCAGCCTCCCCAGCCGGCGCGGAGCCCGCACCTGGAAGCCAGGCCCGGCCGGCGGACCCAGAGCGCCCGGAGCAAAGACGCCCGGCTCTGCGCTCAGGAAGGAAAACGACCTCTCCCGAAAAGACTGAAGCACTTTTTTCCTCTCCACTGAAAGCCGGGGCACAGCCCATTTTGAACCAGAATAATTTAGTCTGACAACAGATTCCTCCTCTGCTCACAGCTGGCCCAGAGGGAGGAGCTGAAATCTGAACCTCTCCGCTGTGATTGGACCCTTCTCGCGAAAGAGAGGAAAAAAAGGCCTCCCCGCCGCCACCGCGGGCTCAGTCCGCGAGGAGCCCGCGACCTGGCGGCGCCGCGGGCGCACCTGCGGGGCAGAGATGCTGTAGGACCGCGCGCCCCGCGCCCAGCGCCCCGCGCCCCAAGCCCCGCGCCGCCGCCAGGATGCCGCGCTCCTTCCTGGTCAAGAAGCATTTCAACGCCTCCAAGAAGCCCAACTACAGCGAGCTGGACACACACACAGGTAAGGGGGGGGCCAGATGTCCGCATCTCAGTCTGTAAATGGGTAACGACAGGGGTGTGCCGCCTGTCGACTTCAGTACGAAAGAGCTGGACACCCAGGCTGTTTGCTCCCGAAAGAGCGGTCCTTCCTCAGATCGTTCGGGCTCGGGTTTAATTCAAAACTTCCACACTCTGAGCTGGCGAGGAGAACTTCCCTGGGCTCTTGCGACGTCACGTTCCGCAGCGTGTACATACTTGCATAATGAGGACGTGGAGGCTGGGTGAGGCAGTGCGTGAACGTTGAATTATTGCCTTTTTCATGTAATAAGGCTCCTTTCCTCCAGAAAGCGGCTTGATTTACGCCAATCCTTGTACTTACCGGCGTGAGCCAAGCAAGCTGCCCACGCATGAGATGGAACAGAACTTTTCTGTATCTTTAGAAAGTGGGTAGGTTTCCCCCTGCGCTTGCTGGTCTCAGGGCCGGGCAGCCCCCCACACTCGCTCATGTGCGGGGCGTCGGGGGTGGTGCAGAAATGAGCCTTAAGCGCAGTGACCGCGAGCAGCGGCGGCGGAAAAGTAATGTCCTCCCAGCGCCTTCCTGCTCCTGGGAGTCTGTCTCCTTGTTCCCTGCGCTTTCACGGTGCCCTCTGTCTCACGCCCCGCTCCTCTCCTGTCTCCGCAGTGATTATCTCCCCGTGTCTCTACGAGGGCTACCCGGTGCCTGTCATCCCGCAGCCGGAGGTCCTCAGGTCGGGAGCCTACAGCCCCATCGCCGTGTGGACCACCGCCTCTCCCTTCCACGCCCCGCTGCCCGCCGGCCTCTCCCCTCTGTCCGGATACCCCGCATCCTTGGGGCGCGTGAGTCCCCCTCCTCCGTCCGACACCTCATCCAAGGACCACAGCGGCTCCGAGAGCCCCATTAGCGACGAAGAGGAAAGGCTACAGTCCAAGCTTTCAGACCCCCACGCTATCGAAGCTGAAAAGTTTCAGTGCAATTTATGCAATAAAACCTATTCGACCTTCTCTGGGCTGGGCAAACACAAGCAGCTGCACTGTGATGCCCAGTCCAGGAAATCCTTCAGCTGTAAGTACTGTGACAAGGAATACGTGAGCCTGGGCGCCCTCAAGATGCACATTCGGACACACACCTTACCTTGTGTCTGCAAGATCTGCGGCAAGGCGTTCTCCAGACCCTGGTTGCTGCAAGGACACATCAGAACGCACACTGGTAAGAGAAACACAGTCAGGGTGTCACCCTCCAGCAGAAGGAAGCTCTGGGCTGGCTGTCCCATCTGCCTTAAGTGGTGACACAGTACTTCTGATGATGGATGTTCGTTTTTAGCTACTTCCTGACGACTCAAAAAGTCCTCAGAGCAGAAAGGGCTCCACTGCTTGCTAACAGCCTCTGCTCCCGAGACTGCAAACAGCATTTAGACTTTGGAAAGTTAGAGTCAGGAGGTTTGGTCTCAAAGATCAGTTAGCAAATCAGGAGAGATGTGCTTGGCCATTTGTTCTGTGAAATGTCTCCCAATGATTAGCAAATACCGATGTTGTTCTCCCAATCAACTGATTAGGCAGACAGACCGATGATGAAGTTTTTGGTTCTTGGGTTTTTGTTAGTTACATTCTTGCTGTTCTGTCTCTCACCCACAGCAAGTTGGATAGCTAGGGCTGAATTTGCTTTCCGTTGTTTGCTTTTGTTTTGTTTTTGCTGCTGAGTTTTCTATTCCTAGCACAAAATCACCCTGCCAGGAGCGGGGGCACTCACCCAGGCTTAGTCATAATACAGAAGGAGGGAAAAGGGGAACTGTTGGGAAACCTGGGGAGGAGCTGGCCGTTAGCTGCACCTGCCGAAGAAGAGAGCTTGAACAAGCCAAGTCCTAGCACGACAGGAATTATTTCTGCAGGACTGGCAGCAGGAATTATATATTTTTTAAATTTTTTTAATATGTTTTTTTTTAAGTGCAACTTTCACATTTGTCTTAAAGGGCCAGACATTGAAACAAATATCGATTAAGGGGGATTTGAATCGAGTTTTGCTCCTTCTCATGCTTTTGGCAAAGTGTGAAGATTGCTTGTAAGCCTCTTCTGGATTTGCATTTCCTCTGAAAACACTGACCATCTTTCTTTCTCCCCACCCCGCCCCACCCCCCCAGGGGAGAAGCCTTTTTCCTGCTCTCACTGCAGCAGGGCCTTCGCAGACAGGTCCAATCTGAGGGCTCACCTGCAGACGCACTCGGACGTCAAGAAATACCAGTGCAAGAGTTGCTCCAAAACCTTCTCGCGGATGTCCCTCCTGCACAAGCATGAGGAGTCTGGCTGCTGTGCGGCGCACTAGTGACACAGCCCCTGTTTACTCGGGCAGACGCCTTTCTTGTTCACTTGTCACGCATTTTACTTGTCACTCCGCCTCTGAGCGACAAGTAAAAGTCCAAAGGCATTTTGTCTTGTGCTGACAAACTCAAATAATATGTATAGACACACACACACACACACACACACACACACACACACAGCTGCCAGGGCAGGGGATTCCATGTGCATCAGATTAATCCTTTCCATGTGAAGTTTAAAATGACCGTATATTTACTGACCGTTAGATGGAGAGGATAAAAGACAAGAATCTTGCTCTTCTATGATGAAGCAAAAAGCACATTGCATCTTTTCTTACTAAGAAAGAATGCAAAGATTTACATTGCTGCCAAAGCATTTCAACTGAAAAGAACAGTGTTTCCTTGTACGGGATTTGTAATAGATTTTCCTATAGGACAAGAATCTGCCAGACACTATCTCAGGTGCCTTATAAAGTATTCCAAGTTCACTTTATTACATGTGTCATGTCTGGTCACCATCCTTGAACTGAAGCCTGCTTTGTTACCTGTCGTACTTTTAACTTTGTTTTTGAGGGAGAGAGGGAGAAGGAAAGAGAGAAAGAACAAGAAGAAAAAACACAAGAGAATGTATTAAAAGTGTTTTTTTCTTCTTTTTTTGGCTAATAAATAGTATGTGCCTTCGGGAGTCGGGAAAGACTATTTTGAACATTCCTGGTGCATGCTCCATGTCTTATGTTTTAAAAGATTTTTAATGATTTTCTAAAATCAACTAAAGATGGGAATAAGTGCAACAAAGGATTTTTAGAAACTCTGTGATGTACTTAAACAACTTTAAATGCATACAACAAATGCAATCCACAACTGCACCCCTTCTAGCTGTCTTTTTAGTTAACTGTATAGTTGATGAGTCCATGTAAATTTGTGTTTATTTTTATATGATTGAATGAGTTTTGTATGAAAGTGAAAAGTTGTCTATAGCCAATGCCTATAAACAACCTGAAGACTTGTGAAATTTACATTTCTTTAAAAAAAAAAAAACAGTTTTCAAGGTTCTTTTTTACAATAAACATTTTTGATTTAAAATCTATTGTTTGTATGCTCTCAGAAACTTTACTTACTTCATGATTAGTTCAAACAACTATATAAAGAACTGCTTCTTTTGTTAATAAGAGATAAAGTGAATGGTGTTCATTATGAATATCAACTGTTAGTTTATGTGTTCGATTATAGTAAAGCCAGTAATTTTTTTTACTCCTAAGATAGTACTGTTATATTCAGGGAGTTATGTAGTTAAGTTATGTAGTTATGGAGTTATGTAGTTATGGAGTTAAGATAGTACTGTTACATCTTACTGGGAGTTTGTTAGCATACCTCTAACAAAAATCACACTTTCTGAGTGCTAAGAATATTCACCTTACTGATAGTCAAGAATATCTTTCAAAACTTTTTCTTTTTGATGACGTGATTGTGTTGGCTTTATGAAATCAAATTATAGTCACTGGTTGTAATTAGTGTCTGTCATATGGTCCTCCAGAACAGTTTAAGGACTCTAAAAGAAATGTCATTAATGATATATAAGAAGAAAAATAGAGCATCTGCATGAAAAGATCAGGAAAAAGATTTATTTATAGTAGTAGACTTATTACAAATTACACAAGTTGGAAAATTAAGTCATTCAAAGAAAGCACCACATCTAGTGGGTTAAGATAATCAGCAGTCTGACAGGTGCATGGCTAAGAAAGAGAAGGTTGGCTTTTCTTTTTATGGTATTTTGAAGAGGCCCCGACTCAAACCCACTGTGACCTAATCCAACAGGGCAAGACTGGCCAGCCCACCTACAAGCACATGCTCACCAAACACAGTGGACTGACTCACACATTAGGATGCTAAACAACCGTCACAGGCACTGTGACAGTCACCACACTATGTATTTAAATCCAGACTCAAACCCATGTTGAGCAGAGTTCCTGCCACCATTAATCACTTCTCTCTGGTTTGCTCAGAACTCAAAGAATTATTTTTCCTTCTAATGTCCTTGTGATACAAACAAAAGCCAGAACCAGTATCTCAAAGACATTAGCAATACCAACATATTCTTCAGATGCTCAGACACATCCCAATGTGTGTTACATTTAAGTTTTAGCTGATATATAAAAAGGGAGTATGTCGACCAAAAAGCCCCTCAATTTCATATTTTGTTTAATTTTTTTGTATCTCGGGACATATCTCTCTAAAGCAAAATTATTTGAAGAGCAATTTATAAATGTAACAGAGATGGCTGATGTCTTGTCTGGGGTATTCTAAAGTCAAGAAGAGACTGCTTTAGTTTGTGTATATGGTATATAAACGATACCCAGACACTTGCAGGCCAGGTAATAAGTAGAAATATCTCACAAGGACACGTGTACGTGAGGCAGGCAGCATCTTTGTGGCCTTCTGGTTGGTCCTCCCAGAACCACATGACTCGCTTTCCTTTCCTTGTCTGTAGATCTGCAGGCATCTCATTTCCTGGTGTCCAAAACACAAACATAATTTTCTAAGAGGAAAATCTGTTCATTCGTTTAAATTCCTAGTGAAGAATTAGTGGTAATATTTTTGAAATATTATATATTTTTTGCAGTACATATAAAATGTACATTTATGCTTTGTCCTTACAATTTTCATTGCATTCATGATTTAAATATTCTACTTTCATTAATGTCATGAGTTTGAAGTACAGTACATCAATTAGATATTGAGATTTTCTATAGGTATAGCTCAGTAATTTTTTAGAATTTTCAGCTTTTCTATGAGGTTTTTGCACATCCTGTAATACATAAGACCTGGCCTGGATGTCACATACTTCGAATACTTCCCAAAATTCAATCTTTCTGAAAGAGTTATATCATTTACAATATGGTGCTTATCTTCCTGAAGGGCAGTTTCTTGAAAACGTTTTCCCTCACTAGACAGAGCACCTTAAAATAAACTCATAGCAGCCAGTACATCATCTAGAATACAGATATTAATACATGTTTGTTGAATGAATAAGTGAATTAAAATAATAGAAATTGGTGAAAATGGCCTGCAGACATAAAATACATTTAACATATTTCCCTTTATTGCAAAAAGTCTTGATAATTTTTGAGAGATCCTCTAGACAAATGTGCTGGTGAGTCCTAACAGTGATGCCAGCCTCCCGCCAACAGGGCAGATGCTTCAAACAGGGGATTAGGGGGCAGGTGCACCTGGACCAGGTTTGATGGACTTTCTGAGAAACTGAGCTTTGAAAACTATTGTTTTAATAATCAGGATGTGTTCTAAGGAGCCTCCTCAGGATCCATCCTTGTTCCCTATGAGACAGAGTGGCACAGTAGGAGAAGTCCCAGCTTTTATTTTCAGCTTATATGTTTATATTATTGGCTTTATGTCCTTCTGCAACCTGACCCCTCGGCACCCCGTTTCCTGAAGTTTAAAGGAGGACGAGACCCGAAGGGTCACAGCTGTGGCCCATCAGTCTCGGGCACGGTGTCCAGGGTGCTCTCACTCCACGCTCAGCCAAACCTGCTCCCTGGTCGGATATCCCCTCACCCGGTCGCCTCCGGTGGCCATGGTGTCTCTATGAAGTTGGTCTTTTACGGCTACAAAGATTAAACTCCGAGTTTGGAGAATGGAGCCAGGGCAGCAGAGGCCACGAGCTGCAGAACTAAAATCCAAACCCAAATTCTCCGGTTTTCCAGACCTGCTTCTTCTGCTGCCCTTGGGAGGAAGGGCCCCTGGAGCACCTGGGTCATGGACACCTGCGTCGCAGGCACATGACAGGCAGAGGCCTCTGGAAGCTCAAGAGGACGCAGTGCAGGGCTGAGCTCAGGAACCATCGTAACTCGGGGATTACACAATCACGTCCAACAATCTCCAGAGGCATTTCCCAACTCGGCTGGAGAAGCCCTGTTGGCCCCACTTCCTGCGGGGCCGCCTGGCAAGGCCCACTCCCCACCTCCCCACAGCTCCCCTGCGCCCTTCTGGGGCCACGAGCCATTTCCTCCCCCGACCCCCACCCCGGCAAGCTGGAAGGCAGCTGGTCTTCATCCTCAGCCGTTAACACTTCATCTTCTGAAGGCCACTACGGCTCCCTCTCACACCCACACTCCTCACCCGGCTTTTATCTCCAGAGACAACAAGGCTTCCAAGGCAAACATCCTTTCTTTCACCACTAAAATGTGGACACTCCAGGGTAATGAGGCAATTATAATTGTGAAAAGTCGAAGGCTTCCCTGGCTGACATCCACTTCCAAGGAGTCGCTCCTAGTTTAGATACGGGAAGATTTCTGATCAAAACTCACTTAAGAATAAGTGTCCTGTCATCACAGGGAGCAAGGATTCACGAGTGAGACAGCTTTTCTCTCCTTCTTATCTTCCCACCAGGGGCAGATGGAGAGCAGAAAGACTCCCCTCACCTGAGACAGACACACACGGAGGGGAAAATCCTCTCGTTTCATTTGCGTTGGTAGAAGTGAGTGTCCACAATCACAGGGCCTGAGCTCTGGGCTGAGTGAGGGCCGGCCCCTCAGGCCTCCAGGAAGTAATCATTACCCTGTGGACGGCGTGCACGGAAAAAGCAGTGAGCCTGGCAGGACTTCCGCCCTGGCCCCCAGCCAGACCCCAGACAATGAGCGATCAGCAGAGGAAACAGCCCCGCATCCCTGGCCTGGGACCCCAGAGAGGTCGGCGGGGTATTTATAGCCATGAGTGGGAAGGCTGCTGCCAACAGGAGCCAGTGCGCTGGAACAGTCTGTGCACTCGCTCACTGAGGTAGGTTGCTCTGCTTATGATGCACTCGGCCAGTTGTTTGGGAGATGATCTGTGAGTTATCACTAACTAGTTTTCTTAGACAATGTCGGGGGACGGTCAGGATGGGGATAAGGATGGCTGACCTTCTCCCGGGGCTTGTTCTGGGCTGGAACTTGCCCCCACCCCTTCCAGGGAAGGACTTCTGCTTCTGCAGAATCAGCAGGTAGCAAGAGCT